AAAATTGAAAAAGAAGATGAAATGGAATGTCTTATAGATGGTAAATTACTAATAAATTATTACCATTTATATATTTAATTTATATATAAAGATCTTTAATATAATAAATATATATATACTTATATACTGTATATATATTTTAGGCTTAAATTTTTTGATTTCACAAATTCCATATGAAGTTTTTACTTATAGTGAACAAAACCCAATGTGTTTTGAAGGCACTCCTTCAAATATGTTTCCTTATATGGTGAAAATATTTAACTACTCATTTATTATAATTATCATCATCATTATTAATTCATAACATATATGTGTTAATTTTTTAATTGGTTTTTAGATTGTTAATATTGGATCTGGTGTTAGGTAAATGATCACTATAATAATGATAATAATAATAATAAATAAATAACTTATTATCAATTAGCTATTATAATAATAATAATGATCATTATTATTACATCGTTCATAAATATAAAGCATATTAAAAGTTACAGCTATGGATAAATTCGAACGTATTTCTGGAACATCTGTAAATATTATGCTACTATCATTATTATAATATTATGATGATAAATAATTTGTAAATAATTATTCTTTATATTTACAAGTTAGGTGGTGGTACATTATGGGGATTATTATCTTTGTTGACTGGAGCAAAATCTTTTGATGGTATTTATTGAAAATTGATATCAATTGATTTAAATTCTATCAAAAATTACTTTAAATTGCTTTATTTCTTCCAAATAATTAGAAATGTTAGAATCTAGTAAACATGGTGATAACATTAATGTCGCAAGTATTTAAACAAACATTAATTTATTGTTATTTCTATAATACTTCAAAATAATAGTAGTAGCAATATTTATTTATAGGATATGCTGGTTGGTGATATTTATGGAACTGATTATTCAAAGGTTGGGCTTAAGGCCACAACAATTGCTTCATCTATGGGAAAAGTGTTCAAAAAGAATGTTAGACAGAGTATGGGCGATTTTAAAAGTGAAGACATTTCAAAATCTTTATTATTTATGGTTAGGTAATTATTATTATAATCATTTAAAAATTATATGTGCATCTTAATTATTATCATATATATATATACATATATTAAATATATGATTTTTAATTATTATTTTTAGTAATAATATTGGTCAAATTGCATATTTAAATGCAAAACTTCATGGTCTGGATAAAATATATTTTGGTGGATGTTTCATAAGAGGTGATTGATGGTTTATTCTTTTAAATAATGAATATTTGATCTCTTTATTATCAATCAACTAATATTTATCTGTCTGTCTGTCCGTTGATTGATTAGGCCACCCTGTTACAATGAACACTTTATCTTATGCTATAAATTTTTGGTCTCAAAGTGAAAATAAAAGTAATGCAAATAATATAAATTATAATGAACATAATTCTTTTGCATCATCCATCACTTAGAATAATATGATTATTGATGGAACCTTTGGTTCATACGCTAATGTTCATATGGGATATGGTGGTTATGTCACCAATGCGAATGAATTGTAATCATAGAATTATTGACAAGTTTTGGATAAGTTGAGAGGAGAAAAAAATCAGTTGTGGACACGTATAAAAATATATTTAACGTTAATGAAGGTGTTGGTAATCATACAAGCATTGATATTAACAATACTGATGATTATGATGAATTCTATTTATTTATAAATACTGTATCAATAGAAATAATAATACAATATTATCTTTTTTCCCTTGTTGCTAAGGCTTATTCTTTCTTGTTGCAAACATAAATATACAATATTATCATGCTTTATGCTTTTCTATTATATATATGTGTGTGTATATATAGCACATAAATTTTTTGAATGAATGATTTGATGAAAGGATTTCATGTGGTGTAAATTATCTATTTACATTTATTATTAATATTATTAATGTTATAATAATTTACTATTAAGATTATTATTATAGTAATCCTTACTTTTCTGATCCTGATTCTGATCCTGATTCTTTTCCTTCTTCAGTTTTTTGTTTTTTTGCAGATTTTTTCTTTCCTTTTTTCTTTTGTCGTTTGGCACGGTTTTTTGCAGTTTTTAGTTCCTCTTGCGCTTTTATAGATGCGATTTTCTCTTCAAATTCACGTTTTTCCTCTTCCTATGAAAATAATTATTAAATTAATCAATTAATCAAAATATATAATAAATAAATTTGTTCCGAACCTTAGCTGTCTCTTCTTCCATGAGTTTTATTCTTGTATATTCTCTTCGACGATGTGCTCTATAAACATGAAATTCTCCACTACCAGCACCAGCACTTGATCCTTTTTTTTTAAACATGATGGTAATAAATAGTATTATTATAAAATATATGTATATATATATCAAGTAATATATCAAGAAATTAATTAAACAATTGGACAAGGAAATTTTTACCTTGTACATTTCTAACAATGTCTTTTGGAGGTTTTAGTTTTGGTTTATCTTGTATTTCAGGTATAGTAACGGGCTTATCTATTCGCTGTAGCAACCGTTCTACTTGTAATCTTTGAAGATCCAAAGGCTTTAAATTATGTTTTTTTTTGCCAGTTTCATTACTTTCTGAATCAGAAGATACAGCAGTATTTGATCCTTTCACTGTTGACATTTTTATTAAAAAAAAAAAGGTCGTTCGTGTAACAATTAATCATTCAAAATTTTCAGATTAGAAAAGGCAATATGTAGGGGTGGGGCATCTGACAATGTTACACGCCTAGAATTTTTCATGCCGACTTTTTCTTTGTCAATAATTTTGAATTATAACAGCCCATCCTACCTGCTCTTCAACCCTCTTGATTTCAAATGGGTAGCAGTATTTATCTAATCTGTGCTTTTGGATTAATTACCCAACTATCTATCTTATACAAAGGTTAATTGAATAGTTAAAAAAAAAAATTGGTGGAACAAGAAACGATGACTATAATAATAATAATAATGAATATTAATTGAATGCTTCTAATTGAAATCTCTTGTATTAAATTTACCCATCCTGTTAATATTTTCCTGGACTTCTAAACTTTTCTTTAGATCTAGAAAATTTGTAAGCTTAAATAAAATATATGGGGCATGCTGCAAAAAAACCAAAGTGAACATTGGTGTTACCAAGAATTTCAAGGTTCAAAATTTAGTTATCATCATTGTACTTAAAGAGACTTGTTGTGAATGATTGAGCTGGTAATTACCATTGCTGCAAATAACCGATTACAACATGTGTCTTTAATTGTATTACTAATCACTAATTTTTTTATATTGTGCAATGTAACTTTATAATACATGGCAAACATTAAGTGATAAACTGGATTTGAATCATATCTGAACTTGATCTCCGACTTAGAGAGGTAACAACTATATACTGGTGAGGCATAACATTTTGAGCAACAACAAATTTCCATTATGCTTATGTTGATGGACTTTTCATTTATGCAAACCAATTCATTTTTTATTAATTGAATGACCCTTATTAAAATATAATAAAGAGATAACTTCTTTATCTGAAGTAGCACTATCGATATTATTACCACCAAAGATTTATCAAATTACAACAAGTGATGAAAATGAAAAAAATCATTCTAGTTTCATTCGTTTCTTCCCTCTAACCTCTTCTTAAAAAATAATGTCATCATTTCTTTGTCAATTTGGATTTTAACACTTTCATCTGTTGTTATTCTTTTATAAGAAATGGTACATAAATAATCAAAGTTTTTTTGAATATTAATTGTATAAATAAATCTTGCTTTTCTGGAAATGTCAGAACAATTTCGAAAAAATTTCCATTAACTGTGACAGTGATGTCATCATCTTCAACATCAATTTTCAATTGACCCTTAGTTTCTTTTGTTATCATTTGGTGATATAGGACAACGAAAACAAAGTCACTTTTGTAACATAAATAAATAAATAATGAATATCAATAAAATCTGGGATGTTAAAGAGAAATAGAATAGTACAACAATACCCGTTATTGATCATTGTGAAAGGAACTTCACTCTAAGAATAAAAAAATTTTGTTGTAATTTTTTATTTATTAACAATTAAATGATTAAAAATTAATGACTTACATTTTTGTCATTGTTACTACCACTATCATCAATAATGCTACCATTACAATTATCATCATCATTAGATAAATGATCATTATAATTGTTGTAATTGTTACCAATGGCATTGTCACCAAATTTGGATACAATGTTATCAACAGCTTTGTCACCACCAGGTTCAGATACGTTGTTTTCAATGACATTGGAATTAAGGTTTCTGGTCCAAACTGTTTTCTCAAAGCCCAAACTAGTTTGGGCAATTTGGGCTTCTCAACATTTTCTAT